TGCTATGTGATGGGAAGGCCACGAGAGGGTACCATGAGGATTCCAGGCCGCGTGGTTCAGAACATTGTATCCTAGTGAAAGTTTTATAAAATTCTATTACGCAAATCTTAACATACAGAACTATCACCTCACTATTGACCAGGAGGGAGATGGCAGCCCTGCAGTGTAGGGATAGCCTTGTTGCCCAGGGCTATGCTGCTAGGGACAGCAGGCGCCCAGCTCCGACCCTGTTGGAAGCCAGATTCTTTCCTAGACTCCTTTTCCCCATCTGAAGACCAAATAATGTCTTTAAAGTCATATCAAACACATAGCCCTGGAGAGGGCATGCTGATTCAAACCATTCCATGACACATAAAGAAAGAGAGGCTCGTTGTCAAAAGAAAACTGAGATGAAAGAAATGGTGTGATCAGACTTATAAATGGATAAGTGGAGATACAGACACACCCAAATTCACTTACACTCCTTTCTGTGTGCACATACAGCCAGCCCAGCCCACATTGGCCTCCTCAGAGCAATAGAATATAAAAATACATCAGATACCTAATGTCATTCTGGATGCTGGGCAAGAGTTGCTTGCAAGCTTAGCTTACTCATTAAAGTGATGCTTTTAAAGACCATCTTTATCAACACAATAGGTAAATTTGTGTTTCACTGACATATTACTCTGAAGCATTATAGTACTATCTTGCTTTAGATGCCTAACACCCATTAATAACAGGAGAGCTGTCTGATCATTAGGGGATCTCTTCCCCAATACTTGAATTCTATTGTGGTTTGGGTATGAGGTGTCCCCCAAAAGCTCCCGTGTCAATGCAGGAATATTCAGAGATGAAATGATCAGATTATGAGAGTTGTAACCTACTCAGTTCATCCTAGTTTGAATGGACTGACTAGGTGGTAACTGTAGGTAGGTGAGACATGGCTGGAGGAGGTGGGTCCCTGAGGAGGTGAGTCACCTGAAAGGGTTCATCTTCCTTGTGGATCCTCCCCCTTTCTCTCTCTCTGCTTCCTGAGACTGCCATGAACTGACAGCTTTCCTCCTCTGGGCCCTTCCCCATGATATGCTATCTCACCCTGGGCCCAAAGCAATGGAGTTTGCCATCTATGAACTGAGACCTCTGAAACCAAGAGCCTCAAACACACTTTCCCTCTTCTAAGTTGTTCTTGTCAGGTATTTTGGTCACAGCATTGAAAAGCTGACCAAAGCAAATTTCCAAGGAGGCTTTTAAGCCATTACAGATTTAGAAGGACGAGACCTCTATGATGGGTAAAGAATCAGCCTTGGGGCTGGGGATGTGGCTCAAGTGGTAGCGCGCTCGCCTGGCATGCGTGCGGCCCGGGTTTGATCCTCAGCACCACATACAAACAAAGATGTTGTGTCCGCCAAAAACTAAAAAATAAATATTAAAAAATTCTCTCTCTCTCTCTCTCTCTCTAAAAAAAAAAAAAAACAACAATAAAAAAAGAATCAGCCTCACCAATGTTCCCCAAACCTTGTAAACCAGGCAGCTGTTTTGAGTCTAGCAGAATGCTATCTGCAAAACAGTGATATATCAACAAAGAATGTTCATTTGATCTTGACTGGAAATGTTTAAAACATTTGTCTCTCTACTTATATGTGTATAAGATTCAGGTACATATAATCACAGGGTGTCTTCTTTTCTTGCAGCACAGGTCTCTGATATTCTAACGGCCTGGTTAATAGCAGCAGCGAGCGAGCTCTGCTTCCTGCTTCCCTGCAGGGTGACTAATTAATAAACTTTCTCTTAATTGAGTTTTGCCTGCCAAGTCCACAGGGATTATTGCTTATATATAAGTAAACAAAATTTCCATTTTAAACAACACTTCAAATCTTTTCATTATATTTTAAATGTGCATATTTAATAAAGTTAATCGAGCTGTGGGCTGAGAGGCTGTGGGTTTTGTGGCCCAGATCCCTTCCCTCTGGAGGAGCTGGGTGCTCTGGCAGGTAGGAGGTGTCCCCCAGATTCTTCTGAGGCATAACCCTCAGCAGCCTGGACTCTTGCCCCTTCTCTATTCTCCTCTATTGCAACATTAGAAAGTACCTAAAAGAGGTTTTTGGAAGCCATTAATGGTATTTGCCTTTTCTTTAACCTGAATTTATTATTTAAAAGCAATTCTTTTCACAATTTAAAAATAGGAAGAAGATGAATTTCATGTTAAATATTTAATAAATGCCTAGGTTTGCTAGGTACCAATTTGGAGAGGCACTTTCCATTTAGGAAACTTCTTCCACCAAAGCTTTGTGGAAACTGAATTTCAGGACCTTACATTTGAGATATTTTAACTGTTTCATTGTTTCACAATATTTTTCCCTACTCTCAGATTCCAAATTGAAAGCAGAACAAAAAAATAAAAAAGTGAAAAACTAAAAACAGAGTCATCCCCCCATCCCCAGTTTGGTTTGCAACATAGAAGAGCGGGGGTTGTCCCACCCTCTAGGATTTTCTGCTCAGTGCATTTGGGAGCTATTGGCTCCCAAAGAGATTCAGATATTCTGTGAGCTACCCTTTGCTGAAAACACAAGAACCCACAGCAGGCTATTATTATTTTTATTATTTTTGACAGCTACTTTGAAGAAATAAACATTTTTCAGACTCTCACATTCACTCTGCTAAGACATTAACCAGAAAAAACAGTGAAGGCAGGATGTAAAGCCAGTTTCCAGATTGTTAGGAGAAACGTGCATTCAATTTTGTGGTGGATTTTCAAGGTCTAGATCTTCTTACCCTTCTCCTAATCCCTTGTTTCCTTCCTTACAAATGTTAAGTGCCCTGAAACTGAACTCATTTTTCCTGAAAGAGTCCCCCTCAGCATATTCTGCTCTGTCCCAGTCAAATCCTTCTCATCTTTCTGAGCTGTCAAGAGAAGTCTGGTCTTCTGCTAACAGCCCACCTTCTTGGGGTGCCCAACACACTGCAAATCAGAGCCAATATCTCTGGACCCCTTGGGCAGCAATAGCTCAAGGTTGATTTTCAGAGCTATAAAGGGTAACCTGGGTTAGTGGAACTCCAGCCCTGGGTGAGGGTATTTTCATTTATTCCTGGGGATGGGTACAGAGGAAAAATCTCTAAACCAGTTAAAGAAGCAGACAGCAAGGAAGATAAGTGATCACCTGATTCATGCAGCAACACAGATGTATCTCAGGCACAAAAGGCCACGTTATGGGTCACATGATTCCATTCATATGCTATTATTGATAAAAACCAAACCACAAAGATGAAAGTCCAAGTCAGTGGTTGCCAGGAGACTGAGACAGGGGCAAGGAGCTGACTACAAAGAGAAAGAGGGAACTTGACATAGCATTCTTCTGTATTTTGGTACTGGTTGTGGTTACATATTTGCCAAAACTCAGCTCAAGACACATAAAAAGGGTAAGTTTCACTAAATATAAATTATACCTCAGTAAATCTGAATTTTAAAAACAAGAGCCAAGGAGTAGGAATAGTGGCAGAACACGGACGGGTCAGTGGAGACACTGAGATGGGGGGAGAGGGGGCAATAGTGGCCCCTAAGAGCTATCTCCAGGACTACTGGTTTTCATGTCTTTCAGGCAACAAGGAGACCTGGGGAGAAATCAAGGACCCTCTCCACAGATCCCAGTTGGATACCTTAATTCCAGGTTTCATCTAGAATAGATGTGTTGATTGCCTCTGTTTTAGTCAATTGCATTTATAATTTCCAGGCTAGGATTATTTTCTGAATTTAAGAGGTTTCTTTTGTTTGTTTGCTTTTCTGGCATCCAGTGTCCTTGGGACAATCAATCAGGGAACACTAAGGGCCAGTTGCCTGGGTTTTGAAAACTCTACAGCGGTAGACTGATAAGGAAGCCACTGTCTGGCTGGGCCAAGCCTCCTGGCCCACAATTTGTTTTTGTTTGTTTGTTTTTAGGGGGGAGAGTACTGAAGATTTAACCCAGGAGTGCTTTTCCACTGAGCTACATCTCCAGTTCTTTTTATTTTTTAATTTTGAGACAGGGTCTCAGTAAGTTTCTTAAGGCCCTGCTAAATGGCTGAGGCTAGCTTTGAACTTGTGATCCTCTTGCCTCAGACTCCACAGTCACTGGGATTACAAGAGTGTACCACCATGCCCAACTCACAACTTGTTTTAGGAAACCCAGTGAGGTCAAGGGACCACTTTGTCTGTGGTCCAAGATCTCCCACCTTCTTCCACTATGACACTCATTTGAACACTGGCACTCAAATCTGGTGAACTTCAAGTAGATGCCACTGAAGGGCAAGGATGGAGAAATACACCAAGACCAAGTGCAAGCTTTGACAAAGTAGCCATGAAGGGACTGGGAACCACAGCATTGGGTCCTAGCAGAATAGCTGTGTTTTTACAATGAAATGTTACTGATGGGATCCTGCCTGAGGGAGGCAACCACTGTCTGGTTAGTTATTCCAAAGTCTGATTTACAGACTATTTAAATCCACGGAGTAGACTCAAGTTAACAATGAATGGCATATTGCCAGGGTGTGCTGGTGGCCAAATGTTGGCCTTTTGTGATGAGCACCTTCAGTTTTATAAACAGAAAGATACTATTCAGCAAGCAGTTGTTGTGTTTAAGTTTTTTCTTTTACATGCCCATGGCAATCACATTGGTAAATTATCTTTATCAAAGCAAACCTTTTTGCCCTTGGACAATTCAAAAGTGAACTTCAGCCCAGACTCTACAATTATCCTGAATTACAAATCACTCCATGTTGGTGTCATTCTATTAATAAAAGGTCATGGGGGCTGGGGTTGTGGCTCAGTGGTAGAGTGCTTGCCTAGAACAGTGAGGCACTGGGTTTGATCCTCAGTACCACACATAAAAATAAATAAATAGAATAAAGGTACTGTGTCCATCTACAACTAAAAAAAATTTTTTTAATTAAAAAAAAAAGAGAGAGAGAGAAGGTCATGATGGCCCTGGAGGAAGGGGTCTGCTGGGTGAGAGCTGATGAGGAGGTGCGGGAGGGAGACAGGCACTTACTTCCACCTTTCCCGCTCTTCTCCATCCGGTACTGGTAGATGTGCAGGGTGAAGAGCATGTGGGAGTTGCGGTGGTCATCTTCATCGCAGTCCTGCTGATTGCTCCGACGGGAAGCAATGGCAGCGTCCAGGAAGAAAGCCGCCTTCTCTGCAGTGGGGGCCCGCAGCTCACTCTGGTTCTGCAGCTAGAAGACACAAAGCCAAGAGCTGGGGCTGCAAGCCGATGGAGGGCTTGCCTGTCACTCATGCCTGGGTGTTAACTGCTCCATTCAGTTGCTGTCCACTGTGCCTAGTAAAGCCACATGCCTCTCGAAGGTCAAAAGTCGTTCTGGAACTAGGCCCGGTATTCATGTGCAATTCTCAGTTTAATTAATTTATTTCTGCAAATTAATATTGAGCACACTTAGTGGATGCAACTTGTTTTTACCTATTTTACACCCTAAGTAGTATCTGTAACTCGCAGGTGTGAAAAGCAAAGGCTGTATCTGAGTGATCAATGGGAGCAGATGACCCATCCTTATCATTGCAGAGGACAGCAAACCAATAACCCAGGGCTATCCATTTACCTAAGAAAACAGGAGGGATGTGACTGCATGTTGATCTCAGAGATTAGATTGTTTGGAGACAGAGAGTTTGCAAAATGTGATTTTAGGTCTGACAAGCACTGGTGTCCCAAGGAAGTATAAAACTTAGTTAGCTTTCACTTGATGCCTATTTTTTTTCAGTTATTTAATGAAAGCTAATTTTAGGCCACACTTTCCAGTGTAGTTATGAATAAGAAGTACTTATCAAAGGCTCGCTGAAACACCCAAGATACTTGAAGGTCTCATCTGTATTCAAGAGCTATCTAATTTCACCTTTAGTTACTGAACTCATGTTTGTGGCATAATCAGTAATCGATTAGAGAAAGCATAGTGTGCAACGTGTCTAAATCCTATGAGAACTCATGGCAATTATAGTAAGCCTGAATCAGAACAATCGTATTATCAGATTTTGATCAGCATTCCTCTTTTTTTGTGGGAGAAAAAGAAACTCCTATTTCTGATTTGTTCAAAGAACTAATTTGCAGTATGTCTTAAGGTTAGAAGAAATATTGACAATGTTCTACTCTGAGTCTATACCTATAGTTTTGAAGTGTGAAAGCCAATATTTGGAACTTAAGATCAGCAAAATCCTTGAACTTCAAAGAGAGTTTGTATTCTGTTTGTGGTTTTGTACTTGTCATAGAAAAGTAAACGGAAGTATTAAAAACATGTTTTCCACAAGGGGAATGTATTTAAAATAAGGAGGATGTTGGCCTCTTCATTTTGTTTGCCTTCAGTTAATCAGATCTTTCATTTAAGTGACCTTCATCAATGGACTCATAAAAGTGAACAGAGCCAGATGGGGTGGCACACACCTATTATCTCAGCTACTCAGGAAGACAAGGCAGGAGGATGGCAAGGTTGAGGCCAGCCTGAGCAACTTAGTGAGACCCTGTCTCAAAGTAAAAGAGAAAAATGCTGGGGATGTAACTTTGTGGTAGAGCACCCCTGGGTTTCATCCCCTGTACTGCAACAAAACAAAACAAAACAAAAAAAACATGGATGGCAATCAAGACACATTTTTGTGACTTATATGTGGACCAGCAAGCACCTGAGCATGTTTTATGCTTCAGAATAGTTGTTCTCAAAGTGTGGTGTCTGGACAGGCAGCATCAACATCACATATAAATTTGTTAGAAATGTGCTTTCAGGTAGTTCTACCTCAGACCTACAGAGTCAGTAACTCTGGGGTGGAGCTGAGCATCTGTGTTTCAAAAAGTCCTCCAGGTGACTGATGTAGGCTTGAGAGGATTCAAAAAGGAAATGGAAGATCTAGGATATTTTAAGCAGAGATTGAGCATGGACAAGTTTGGGTATAAGGGTGTAACAGAGGCACAGGCACCTTCACCTGTGCAAACAGTCCCAGCTGGGATGAATCAGGTACTTATTAAAAGGAACACCTTAGCTAATTAAAAAAAAAAAATAGTGGGAGAGAGAGAGGAAAAAAAAAGAAAGAAAGAGAGAGACATCTGGTAAACCTTGAAAACAAAGCCTACTGCAGGAGGCCAAAGTGATTGTTCTGGATATGAACCAGGGAGCTCCTGAGTCATTCCTACATCTATTGTCAAAGAGCAAGGAGAGAGATCCTTATAACAAGGCGTGACATCCTGAAAAGGCGAACTGGATCTTCTCTTGGCTTCCTTCATTCCAGCAATTATATCATGGTTCTAATTAGAAAGTGGTTATTAGTTTTTCCTACAGCACTGCTAATCTGGCTGTAAACCAGTGCCAGAAACACAGTTTATAGGGCCATAAACAGCCCCAGTAATGGCTGCAGCTATTTGTGCAGAGCAGTAAATATTTCGGTTTGTTGTTAAACAAAAGAAAGATTGTACTTTTCTTTTTTGGAAAGGAACGTAAAGAAAGTGAATTCAATTTTCCCTCAAATGCTACGACAATTGTGGTTCCTGCTCATTGTCAATTAGATTCAAGGTACAAATATTTAGGTTGGGTAAGCAGATGGCCCCACAGCTGCAGGCCATAAAGTTCCAGTCCACTTTAAAGTAAACACTTGTAAGCTTCCCAGTTTACATGGTGAGTGATTCACGGCTCAACTGCCCCAGCCTCCGAGGTAGGGATGAGCCACCTCAGAGCAAGCCAAACTTCCAGAAGCAATCACCTGTGTGCCACAGATGGGGTCTTCGCAGAGGTACACGCCCGGGGACTGGCCATCCTGCAGGCTGCCAGTGGCCACCTCAGATAGAAGGTCCCGCAGGTTCTCTTCTTTCCCCCACACCTCTACGGCTGAGATCCGAACAGAGAAACGGGCTCCCGTCTTTTCTTTCCGTTCATTGATGAGCTTAAAGAGCCAAGAGATGGCACAGGGAATGATGCCAAGGTTCTGCATGGAATCATCCTTCCCAATCATGGTATAGGATTTTCCTGTGGGAGCAAGGAAAGGGAGAAGAGCAGGCTGATTGTTGGCATCATGCTACAGAGTCTCAAAACAGATGCTAAGGATATAGAAGGCAGGCATGGGGGAGTGAGTGGAAGGGAAGGAAGGGAATTAGAAGGTAAGAAAAATAGTGTGCATTTGATGACAAATAAAAAAAAAGGCAGTTCCTAGTACTAGCGATGAAATGGCTATAATACAGAATGTGAGAGCCCAAACAAATGACAAGATGAAATCACAGTGCACCTTGAAGAGGATCACGCTTATCACAGGCTATCCAGTTTCTGCATTGTTTTACATATAGTGGGAAGGCAGGGACTTTTCATCACTATTATGGTTCACTTTACATCTACCCCACAGATCAAATCCACGTATACTTTACATCCTTTCTCAAGTTAACTGCTGTGTATATTTTTACAGCATGAGCAAATTCCATTAAAACCTGGAGTCCTGCTTTGATCCAAGATCAAATGAGAGGAAGGTCCAGGGAAGACAGAAGTGGAGAGATAGGTTTTCTGTCCTGGCCAAGAACTGAGTTTCAAGACTTCTGCAATGTCTCTGATGCAATCTCTGCCTAGGGACACTTTTTTGGGACTCCCCAAATTACTAACTTATCAGGCATGTAATGCAAGGTCTAGTGAGCAGATAGAGGGCCATGGATTAGTATTAAGAAGGGACAGTGAAGGATTCAGTGAAAACCCTTGGGGGTGTGTCTCACTGCATCCTTTCCCAAATGTTTCAGCACAAGAGGATTCCTGATAGTGTCTGGTTGCTGGGAAACAAGGATGGCTTTGTCTGATGTTCCCAGACAGATCCTAACATGACACTTGACTTTGCTTAGAGGTTGTTAATCTGGCTGTTCCATTGGTTCCATCTACCAACACAAATCATCTTGGCAGGGGAGCAGGGGGTCCATCTGCTTCCCAAGGAGCCTCTGCTCAGGAAATGTACATTTTCGTGCTTGCTTTCTTAGCTTGACCCTGACCTGGACCACTGCTATTCCCTTGTTTCTTTCCTGAGCTTGACAGCTGCCCTACAGGAATGGGTGTCCACTTACAAGTACCTACATTTCAAAGGCAGAAGTAATTGTTCTCTCAGCACCTTAGAGAAATTTGACCCTTCCTTTCATCTGGGACTATGGGACTAATATAGAAGCATAGAATGAGGGACCCAATGAGCAGCATAAAGTAAAAGCTCTCACTAACCCAACTTGGCGTGGCCAAAACAGAACACGCAGCCATCCGCCCCGTTGACCACAGACTGGATCACCTCTGCCACGGTTCCAGCACACACTTCAGCCTGTCAGACATGAGAGGAGATATGAGCCATTAATGAACCATACAGTAGAGGCACCATTAACAACGTAAAAGTGAGCCCACCTTCCTGGGGCGTAAGGTCCCAGCTCTGCCTGGGGTTCCCCCAGATGGATTAGCCTCTGCCATGGAGCTTGAGAGGGTCTCAGAACTCTTGGGTACCCTCTGTCTCTTGCAAGCCTGAGCATTATGTGAGCTAACTGCAAGCCTGCCTGCTGCTCCTTGGTGGTGCACTTCAGCAGTATCCCAGGACCAGGTAGGTGCAGGTGGCTGTGGGAGTATGTTTCCATGTACCTTGTTCCCTTCATTCGTCTACCATTCTGACCTCTGGGAAAAGGCATTTTAACTCTCCATTGGCCCTTGGAAAATTAGAACCTTCCTTCACAGACAACACACACACTTATGAAATGGGCTAGGTTATTAGAAGGAAAAAGATGACATATTATTTCAGGACAAAGAACTTGAGAAAATTTATAGTTCGAATACAATCAAGAGGTTTATGATATAGGTCTGCCCTCTCTCCTGATCTCTTTCCTCTTTTTCAATCCACATTCTCCCCTTTTCAAAACCAGTCTTGTCTTTCTTTCTCTTCGAATGTATTCATTGGGTACAACATCAATTGCCACTTGTCAGTAAGTTAGACGGGTGTTCTTTAGCCTATGCCTGCCTCATCTCCGATTTGATTATTAAATCTTTAGGCAGGAACTTGATACTTGATGACTTTATATTTTCCCATTAACACTCAATAATACAGCACTCTCCGAATGATAGGAATTCAGTAAAGTTTCTGGACCAACTTGGGGACCTGGGAAATCTCTTTCTGGTTAGCATCTAAAGTTTCTGCAGCAGCAGGAGGACAAAATCATTCTCTGTGTCCCTTATTTCTATCTTGGGACTGGAGTCGGAGCTCATGGAAGCATTGAGAGTCAAGCAAACACTGGGGCTCTGAGGTCATCAGGGCAATGTACCTCCCAGTAGGAACCTGAAAACCAGCAATCTCAGCTATGAATGTCGTTATTCAGCTCCAGGTTTCAGCAACACAATGAACCTAAGTATTTGGAAATCAATTTTCTCTCCCAAACTGAAATTGAAAAACCACACTCCCAACAATTGTCAATTGTTCTGGGGTGGTCGCCTCAGCAATTCTGCCTGGGGTTCCCCCTGGGCTGAGGGGGCGGTGTGACAGGGCTGCCGAGGGGACCACAGGATGGTTCACAACCCCCAGGACTGAAGCAATGAGAGCCTGGCGGTAGACCCTGAGACAGAGGCAGCAGAACGTTGATGGAATTTGCCAGAGGCGCCTCTGTAGAGCAGGGGGACATTACTGCCCAGTGGCCATTGGCATTTTGGACATGAAGCGAGGTGGGGGCTGGGAGCTGTACATAAAATAAGCTATTAGATTCTTAAGTCACTGGGGAGAATGCTGATTGTGTGTGGACCAAATTGTCATATGCACAGAGGCCAGGGGACAAAAAAGATACAAGAATAGCCTAATAAGACACAGAATGTGGTAGGCAGACTCTTACAGAGTTCCCTCCTGGCTGTCCATCCAGACTGGTCAATAATTTGTTCACCTTATTATTATTAAGAGCTGACAGTGGCCCCTGGAAGCCCTTTGCTGCCTTTCTTCATGGACCCAGAGATACAGGCAGTCCTCCCAAGCATATATCTCTTGAGCAGGGCCTGGTCGGCCAGAGCCTCCAATTCATCCGCTAGTGTGAAACCTCCCTACCACCCTTCCCTAAACTATACCCAGCAGAATGGGTCCCAACAGAGTGCAGCTAGTGACTGCCAAGGCCATTTAAGGGTAATAAGGATTGTTATCAAAGGCAAGGAGGAGCAGGCAATGCTATAGTCACTGCTTCACTTCAGGAGCTGATACCCTTTGAAACTGGGAGAAAGCAATCAATAGTTTATAATGGTCTGGGGTCACCAGGGTTGTTGCTGCTTCCCAGGCAAGAAGCTGAGCAAGATCTGCTCTGCACATTTGCCTGTTTTGAGTTTTGGAGTGCTCACTTTGAGGGGCTGAGCTGGCCATGACCAAGCAGCATACTAACATTAACAATGATGATATAATAGTAAAAATAGCTATCATTAATTGAACACTTGTTATGTTCCTAGCTCTGTGTATCAACTCCATGAATCACAATAGCCTGATGATCTCATCTGATGATCACATTTTATCTGTGTCCTCATTTGACAAATGAGTGCATTGAGGCCTTGAGAGACATAGTGTCTTGTCCAAGGACATGCTACTAGAAAATGGTGGATAAAATGGGTGGACAAGACACACCATACTGAGCAGAGTACGGAAAGGTTAATGGGGAGAATCCAGGAAGGATGGCTGCTCAGGAGAGGGGCCATCAAAAAGTGACCTACTCTCTGGATCTCAGTTTCTGTGTCTATAATGTGAAAACAGTTAAAGCCTCCATTTCCTACCCCACAGAGTTCAAGGGAGAGTCAGTGACATTACATATACATTAGTATATGAGACTTCTTGAAAACTACAAATTTATATAGAAATGTAATAATATTAAACATTTGAACAAATTGAAATACTCTTAAAGTGAATGAACTGCATTATTGAGCATATTGAGTTTGGAAAACAAGTGCAAAATGTGTTAAACTAAAACTAGTGATAAAAATTACTCCTTTTTTTCTGGAATAAATTTAAAATCATTAATAGTCCATGCATAATTTAGGGTTTCCTTTGGAATTTTACAACTTACCAAGATCTGTTTCTGAAAAGTTTTAGCTATTATTAATTAAATTATTTGTAGATCATTTATTAGATCCAATGTCAGGTTCAAATTACCACTGGATGGTACAACACAGAACTTAAACAGAGAAACCATAGAACTCATTCATAAAGTACTTTGTCTTCTTATGGTAACATTCTTTGGGAAAACCACATGCTCAGCTTCTTTATATATATGTATTTATTTATTTATTAGTTGTATTTGGACACAATACCTTTATTTAATTTATTTTTTTTATGTGGTGCTGAGGATTGAACCCAGGGCCTTGCACGTGCTAGGCTAGCACTCTACCACTGAACCACAATCCCAGTCCCATGCTCAGTTTCTTAATGGATAAAGCCTATAATGTGCCCTGTGTGCTTATGGTGTAATACTGGAACATGTGTGAACATCATTACTTCCTATACTCAGATTATAGAGGAAATTAACAGGCTGCAATTGTAACTACTGGTGTTGTTCTCCAGTTCAGCAGTAGGCTATTACCATACTATGCAGAGTTGTGTAAATCTTGGAAAGTACTAAATATTTATCAGAAAGATACACATGTCTTGATGCCACAGTGTCGGCAAGTAGGCCACCATACACTTAATAACCTGGTTGATGTATGTATGTATGTATGTATGCATGTACGTGTATGTATACTTATTTTTGGCACTGGGGATTGAACCCAGGGCCTTGTACGTGCTATATTTATAGTCCCCAGCTAAGCTTATCCCAGTCCTGGGTTATTTATTGATTTCTGCAAATAATCAGTCCCATACTCATGCTACTTTCCCAATCCCCAGTCCCTCAAAGTGGCACTCTTGGGTGCAACTTAGAGGTCCACATTCATCAGGAGATAATCCCAGTAAGAACAGATGTGGACTAGAAGCTTCATTTGCACCATCTGACAGGGTCTGCAATTCCTTGGTTGCCTATGGTCCAAAAATCTTAGCTTTATGACCCCCCCCCCAACCACCAAATAATGTGATTGCAAAAAATGGCCCCAGTTCTCCATCTCAACCTATGTGCATGCTTCTTGAAATGTGACTTTGCAGCTCATCCAGTAAAGAGAAGTCTCATCCCCATCCCACTAATTTGGACCAATAGGAGGCTACAGAAATGATGTTGCATCAATTGTGGACACAGGCCTTAAAGAGGCCTGCATAGTTGAGACCTGGACACTGCCATGAGAACAAGTCCAAGCTAGCCTGCTGGACAATGAGAGACAACATGGAAGAGAGACCTGTTAACCCTGCCAGGGCTACTGTAGACCAGCTGAATGCCAGCCAACCCCAAACATGTGATAGCATCCAGCCAAGATCCTCAGAGCTGCCTATCCAACCCACAGCTTATCACAAGAGAGTCAAACTAGCTGCGGAATTGCCCAAATGGTCCTGAACAACATAATAAATGTTTATTGTTTTAGCACTGAATAGTGGGTTGAAATGCATCATCAGTGAATTGACATAGCCGCTATTTCTGAGCCTCTTTCATTACCCACTACTCCACGGATCCAGGTGGCAGGATGCATGTTAGCCTCAGTTTCCCTGTCTAGCATTCTAGTTCCTTATTAGGACTACAGACCTGCCTTCAATATCAATGGATATTTTGATATTGTAGGGTTCTAGGACACTACCTGATTTTAACCCAGCTCCCTTGAACAATTTCTCCCTTCTTACATGCCCATACCTAGAAGCCCAGGCAGAAGTAGAGTCCTACTGGACCAGTTACCAGCTCCTTGGGGTGTTTGTTCCTATAACTTCTAATTCCTGCTGTTATCTTCTTGCATCTGTATGTCAAACATTGATACACAATAACTCAGAAGGAATGAACTCTTCAAAGGAGCTCAGAAGGATTTCTAGAAATCACTAAGTGGGTGGAGGAAATGGTCTATCAAGTATTCTGGATGACACTCCCTCAGCTTACAGGTTCTGGTAAATAAGTGTCCATCCCCAGGGGGGGGTTATACTCACTTGTGAAGCATCTTGTGGAAAAACTGCATCAAAGGCAAACATCTTAGGAGGGACCTGGTTGCTTCTCTTTTGGAAGGCATTTTGACCTCCACAAGTCAAGGGATCATACAAAGTGATCTGCTTCTTCCGAGGGTCCACCTTTAAGAAAGAGCTGGATTCTGAGGTATCACGAGCCAACGTAGAACAAATACGAAGCATGACTTTCACCTATTAAGAAATGAAGATGGGAAGCAACATGAATTAAGAGAGCTGGATCCTTATATACCCATGTGATATAAATATTCATGACAGCATTGAACTTTTTCATGATACATTATGATGAACTGCACAATGAATTAGCAACTTAATCCTCACTGGGTCATGGGAAAGCTGATTTATTTATAATTACCAGGTAGAATATTTTGATATGTCCATTACTTTAATACAGAGATGGCATATCCTGTTCTTTGTCTTCCTATTAATATAAATTAAAAATTAACTGTGCCCTAGTGGCCCAATTATATAGATGAAAAGCTAATCTGGACTGTCAAGCTATAGGGGCTGGTGTAGTTCCCTTGAAGCTCACAGATCAATAAACCATGCACATAAAAGTTAGCTCTATAATTTACTCCCCAGCTTGGCTCATCAGGACTCTGGGAGACAAAAATCCACAGTTATTAGTGTCATCATTAAAGGCCTGGGAAATGGTCTGTTTTTAAATGGCCAGCATTTGAAATGTGTTCCAAGGGGGGCAACAGTGATAAAAGATTGGTTTGCAACATGTTATTTGGGAATCCCATTAAGTGAGTACAGAGAAGCTGTCATTTCAGGGAATGAAAGCACATCTCTGTAGGAAACAGGAAGTGGTGCCCTTTAACCCATGTTCCAAGTCATTGAACATGAGCATCTCTAGTGCTCCTGACCAACCCAGCCCCATCTCATGGCTGAGTGTGGTGCTCATGGAAATGCAGAAATGAAGCTGAAGTCACAAGCAGATCTGGAAGCGACATGCCTGGGAAATGGAATTTGCTCCCTTAACAGCTGTTTGTTACTGAGTTGCTATTTCAGTCCATTTTCTTTGAGTAACTACTATGTGCCAGGCACTGTGCCACTCATGAGGGATGCAAAGACATGTAATGCCTAGAGTAACAGATGTAGACAGATGATCTCAGTATTATAATTTGGAACATTGTGAAGGTATGAACAAGGATTGTTTCTAAACTCTTTCCTTCATATATAATCAGTTTCCAGGTGTGATGAATTCTCCATCATACAATTTTTGGGGAGGGGGGTTATATATTTTTAAATAAAATACCTAAAACATATAGAAATGTTCAGAGAATAATAAATATTGTGCACATGGAGTGAGGTCCATCTCAGCTCGTCTAGTGAAGCATGGGGACTAATTTGCAGTGTACAAGGCTGAAACATAAAGAATTCCAAGAGCACTGGGCCATCACAGGTCTAGCACTATGCCCCAGCTAAATTTGTCTTTATAAATTAATTGTTGTCTTTCAGTGTGGCTCTGGAGGTCAGGTGTTACAGTGGAAGAAGCCCAAATTTGGGAAAATGCTGACCTCTTAGGGTTCACATTTAGTTTCTGCAAGATTGTAGAAGAATACCTGCCATTTTCTGAGGGTCAGTTGTGTGCCAGGACTGTGCTATTATCAACATTATCTCATTGAATCCTCCCAATAATCCAGTGCATAGATCCAGACTTGTCAGGATTTTACAGAGTAGAAAACAGATGTTACATGGGTTGCCCCAGATCACTGAACATGGTGGGTGATAGGTGGGGCTCTGATCCATCTCCAAAGCCCATACTTCTTCCATCATGTCAACTTCTCAAAGCTTCAGTTTTCTCAACTATATGACAGGAATAACAATGCCTGTTTTGTGGGACAGGTGTGAGAATTCAATGGATTGACAGGAGGTGCTGAACATAGTCATAGTTCTGAGCACATGGGAGTTGAACTCTTGTTCCTCCTTCCTCCACCTTCACTTGCCTCCCTCTGGATCATGACATCTTATGGTTTCCCAATAATGGTATTCATGATAATATCTGAAAACAAACTCCTCGCCCTGGATGTTGGGTACCATGAGTCACACGCAGGACACCATGGAGGATCACTGCAGCCAGGACTCATTATTAGGCACCGAGACTGATATGGCTATTCCTAGGAAAGCACCCTTGAATCCCACCACCATTGCATATTGGATAATAACCACAGCATTTATCTGAATTCTATTCTGGTAATTTCCTTATTTTCCAGAAGTCATTATAGTCTGATTTCAGTTCCTTTCTGTAGATTTGCCGCAGTTACACAGCAGGTGTGCTATGAGCATCTTTTCTCACTGCAACTTTTGGTAGGTAACTGCGGCCGCTGTAGGCAACTCCTCTTGCCCAGCTCTGAACAGCAGAGGTCATGGATGTTGCGAAACCAGGCAGAACTGATGGAGCCACATGGCCCACTGCTTTTCTATTTCACAATTTTGCATGCCATTTCTAGGTAACCAGAGGTGCTGAATGTAAAATACGAGCAAAGCCAGGCAGGAGCCCAGGAGGAGAAGCAGGAGAGAAGGGGCTGAATTCGTGAGCCATTTGTCCAAGAGGAGCGCTCCTGCATCTTAATGAAGCTCCAAGCCTGTGGTTCATTTTCTACAGATGGGCAGAAGGTCTCAGCCTCCGGTCTGGCCAGAGATACACAGTTCTTTAAAACTCCACTGAACTTGGGGCTGGGAGACGTGCCCTACTCTATTATTTTCTTTGCAATTCATTTAAATAAATGGAGATTTTTTTTTTCCTCTCTTAAATGAAGAAAATTGGGTTTTTCTGCTTCACCTCTTTTGTATCATTATTTCTTTAGTCCAGCACTCTACTTCCTGCTTAATCCTCTGTAATTAAAGGGCTTAGGAGATACCACTTAGGATCAAGAATGGCCCTCGGATTTCTTGCCAGGAGTCCTTGCTTTTGTTACAAACATTATTAAGTTTTTGGCAACATCAATTTTAACCCAGCCCCTCCCACTGTTCTACATAGAAGGTTCAGGCAGCTATTCACAGGCACAGCCAGTCCCCCAGCTTTCAGGGTCAAGGGGACAGTCACTATGTCACTCCCAAGAGGCATACCTGAAGGAATGGGACACAGAAAGCTAAAGGAACAGTCCAAGTGGAAGCAAGTAGGGCCTGACACCTTGATTCAAGTGAGAAGAGACTGGCGCTTTCTGCACCCAAGTCCCCACCCGTTGAGACCCCATGTTGCCTCACTTGTCTAATTATTCAGTGTCTGGTACGACACAGCTGTTGCTTTGGGCCACAGTTGTTTTTATGCCTTGCTCATTAATCACTTCAGCACCTCCTCCTGGACGGCATCATGAGATCCAAAGAGAAAGGAATCATGAGACGCTCGTTGAGAGAGGCAGAGCCTGGCTCCTGAGCTGCACAAATACTCCATCAACACAGAGGCGATCGCTGGCTGCCACCCAGCCTTAGTGAAGGCTAATGAGAAGTGGGGCCCATAGTCACTCACAGCACCTGCCTCACATGATCATAACAGACACATTCCTGTTTGTCCCTTGTTTCAGAGCGCAGACCCATGGTACACACCTAGTGAAGCTCTTCTGGCCTGTTTCTCTACCCAGATGCTGTCGAGCAGGAGACTTTTATTCAACTTTAACATTCGGGAGAGTTTGGGGCAACTTACTATTAGTAGGATCTCTCATCAATCAGAAAAAAAAACTATGCATGATGATGTGGGAGAAAGAGAGAATCTGCCAATCATTCTTATGCCTGTGCTTTGTTTAAACTCCTGTGTGGATGCCTAGAATGAAGGTCCTCTCCATAAATTCATAATATATAGTTTTTTTTCCCCTCTACGAGGTTATAGGTTAGAAAGTTAAATTAACTACTAAAATCTTTCAGTACCTTTACTTTATACTGGTTTTGGAGAATCATCTCAGTAGAAACCAGTCAAAGTGCAGATGGATCAACCTAACTAGAAATACCATTTCATGTCATTTTTTGTCTGAATCCCAGCAGTATTCAAAATTTTTTGGGAGGGGGTGGTATTGGGGATTGAATCCAGGAATGCTTTTGCCACTGAGCCACATTGCCAGCTCAGCTCTTTTTATATTTTATTTTGAGACAGGTTCTCACTAAATTGCTTAGGACTTCACTAAGTTGCTGAGGCTGACCTTGATCCTCCTGCCTCAACCTCCTGAATAACTGAGATATAAGGCTGGGGCCATCATGTCCAGCTAGGATTTTCTTTAAGCCTTCCAGATCTATTCTGAAATTCCACGAACCTGTCTAGAAACTGTTCTCTAAGGTACATCAGAGGCAAATAAGAGAGGTTGGTCAAAACCCACCCACAGGAAGAATGGTGTGTAAAGGGGAACTGTACAGGTTGTCAGGTGAGATTCTAAAACCAAAGATAAGACAGTCAATCTGTAGACCCATTAGCAACTAACTCCAGCCCAGGATTCTGGTTCTCTCCTACTGAGGCAAATGGCAGTGACAGGACACTGGGATTCCTCTTGGGAGGGTAAGCTGCAGGAACCTCATCATGCTTGCTTCACACGGGGGAGAGCCAAGTGTGGGTGAAATGGTTGAGCTGAGGGTGCTCCAACTGCCTAAGGAGAGCTGCGGGTGGAGGAGAAAAGCAGGGGTGCGTCCTTGGGACAGATCAGGAAGCCTCTCCTGGTTTCCACATATTTGGGGATGGGGTTCAACTGTTGAAAGAAAGACTCAGAGGGACAACAAGAGTTCATTGTTTCTAAAAGGTTGAGCTCCCTCCTTACAGGAACAGGGTGTGATGGGCACCGCAGTGAACCAAGTGCTATGGCTAGGATCTAACCCAGATGTCACTACCACTGAGGTGCGGTCTTGTGTCCTCATCCCTAAGATGGGCCTGCTGTGCCACCTCCCTTGAAGGACAGATGTGAAGAACAAAGAGATAAAAATAGATTGTAAAGAAAACATATTTAGGGCTGAGCTGGGGCTCAGTGGCAGAGCGCTTACCTAGCTTGTGCAAGGCACTGGGTTCGAGTCTCAGTACCACATATAAACGAATGAATAAAATAAAGGTCCATAAACATCTAAAAAGTATATTAAAAAAGAACATATGTGTAGGGCTGGAGTTGTGGCTCAGTGGTATAGCACTTGCCTCACATGCGAGGGACACTGGCTTGGATTCCTCAGCACCACATAAATAAATAAAATAAAGGTAT